AAGAATACCATGCAAGTTATCTTCCTACCAAATATGAAATACATCTGTCAATAAATAAAAGCTGTATGGGCAAAAGTGTAAAAATCTATATTTAGCACAAGTGACCTTGACCAACTGATCCCTACCCCAATCAAAAGGATGAATACCATGCAAGTTATCTTCCTACCAAATATAAAATATATCTGTCAATTAATAAAGGCTGTATGAGCAAATGTGTAAAAATCTATTTTTAGCACTGGTGACCTTGACATAACTGACCACTAACTCAATCAAATTTTATGTTTCTATCAATTATAAATAACATCTCTCTATAGAATAAGGTTAATACACCTGTAAAAATGTAAAAGTCTATTTTTAACATTGGTGACCTTGACATTGGTAACATTGACCTGGACCCAAATGACCCCTTACTACACCCAAAGAAGGAGGACCTCCCTTGGCATGTTTGTATTAAACTAAGACATCAACTAAAAAATAAAGGCTGTATGAGCAAAATGTTTATATTTATTTTTTAAACCAGTGACCCTAGAGACCGCTTACTCCACAAAAATTTGTGGAGCATCAAAGGTATCCACCTACTAAATATGAAAGATATCATTAAAGAAATTAAGCAATTAGGAGACATTTAAGATAAATCCAACTTGCCGAAAAATGTTAACCAGACAAGGCCTTATTTTCAAAGTAAAAAAAGGGAAATAACTGGGAAATATGGATGACACAGTTATATAACTTGGCAATATATGTACTTTGTATTGATAAGTAAGTGTGGAAATTATAAAGCCATTAGTATAGATAGATTTTAAGATATTTCAAACTTGCCGTTTTAGGTTAACCATTATTCATTTTCTAAGTGCTGAAAAGGGCAATAACTTGGTAAATATAAAAGCCAGAGTAATGTAACTTGCCCAGATCATGTACTTTGTATTGATTAGTAAGTGTGTAAACTAGGAAGCCATTGGTACAGGTAGAACTTAAGAAAAATCCAACTTGCCGTTCTAGGTTAACCTCGTACGGACGGACGGACGGTTCAATTACTATATGCCCGGGGGCATAAAAATATTTATTTCCAAGTCATGGTGTGCCTTTATGGATCAAAAAAATAAATGATAAAGGTTAATAACCAGTATAGGCGATATGAAGACAACAGTATATAACATAAAATTTCTCAAGGCAACTGTTATACAAGATAACTTCAAAAATAAGCAACAATTGACACTCTAATGTAATATAATGTGTAAACACAATATATTTTTAAGCCAGACAAAAAAAACATTGCAAGCAAAAATTAAACAAAATTGATCAAAAACTAGTATATCATTCCAAATCACTTTTCAACATTGTAAGGTCATTCTATAAAAAAATACATTTTATAGAGGGGGAGACTGATGTCCTTTTTCAAAGGTTTAAATTTGACAAACATTTCTAACATGATAAAATATTTACATATTTTTCAAGTTTCAAAATGAATGTTGCAATTAGGAATTGATGATTATTTGACTAGCACAATTAATTTTGACTCATGGACATACTTAAAACATATGAAAAATAATTTCAAAAACATATGAAAAATAATTTCAACTTTAAAATGACTCCACTGTGGGTTTTTGCAATGACAGAACTGGAAAATATTTTTTTTAAGATTGTATGCACCATTTGATTTAGGACTTAACCAATAACTTGTGTGCAAAATGTCAGATCAATCACTGCCTCAAACTTTCCAGAATAATCATTTAAATTGTGAAAAACTTTAACTTAAATCTGGCTATTAGAGGCAACAAGAGCTGTCACAGGAGACAGCGAAGCTCGACTAATGAAATACTGGACGCAGTAAGGAGGACAAAACTATGAAAGAAAAATCAATTATGTATAATTATGTATTAAGTTATGGTAAAAAAATAATATTTGTTAACATAACTTACAAGGTCAAGGGGAATAATTCTAGAAATAGTCATGCTAGAGTTATGAACCTTGTCACACAACATTTGTGTAATGATAAGAAATATATATTTGAAGTTTGAAATAGATACCTTAAAAAGAAAAGAAGTTATTATATTTCTTAAAGAAAATCCTAAGTTCAAAGAGAGATAAATCTGTAAATATTGCATCAAGAGTTATGAACAATGTCACATAAAATGTAATTGTTGATAAGGAATAAGTATTTGAAATTTGAGGTAGATACCTTTAAAAATAAAAAGTTATAATAAAAAATAACATTTTTCTAGTAAAAAAATCTAAGTTTATGGGGAGATAATTCTTGCAATATTGGTGCTAGAGTTATGAACCTTGTCACATAAGATGTGGATGATGATAACGTAAACATATTTGAAGTATGAAGTTGATCCCTTTAGAAATAAATAAATAATAGTAAAAAAATATTTTTTATGGAAAATTCTAAGTTCAATGGGAGATAAATCTGAAAATATTGGTGCTAGAGTTATGAACCTTGTCACATAAGATGGGGATGATGATAACGTAAATACATTTGAAGTATGAGGTTGATCCCTTAAGAAATAAAGAAGAAACAGTCAGAAATAGTACTTTTTGAGGAAAATTCTAAGTTCAAGGGGAGATAAATCTGAAACTATTGGTGCTAGAGTTATGAACCTTGTCACATAAGATGGGGATGATGATAAGGTACATATATTTGAAGTATGAGGTTGATCCCTTAAGAAATAAGGAAGTAACAGTAAAAAATAGTATTTTTTAAGGAAAATTCTAAGTTCAAGGGGAGATAAATCTGAAAATATTGGTGCTAGAGTTATGAACCTTGTCACATATGATGTGGTTGATGATAAGGAACATATATTTGAAGTTTGAAGTTGATACCTTAAGAAATGACAAAGTTATAGTGAAAAATATTTTACTGCACCAAAACTTTAATCTAAAATCTGGACGCGGACGCTGACGCCGGGGCGAGTAGGACAGCTCTCCATATACTTCGTATAGTCGAGCTAAAAAGGAAAAGATTTTTAAATTTAAATGTGTGAATAATTTTTAAGTATCTTTTGCACATCTTTATGTGTTAGGTGTCAAGATTAAGGTACATTTAAAAGTTTTATGTTTTGAGGCTCTTTGACCTCAGAGGAGTTCCGGTAACCTGAAATTTAAGTCACTTATTTAGGTTGTAAGTTACAGAGCATGTAGAAATGGGTAAATGTAACACTATTTTTACTTATCAGTATTTATACTGAATGTCAAAGTTAATTGATTATTTTGGTCGAAGTTCAGTCACACCTAAATTGTAAACACTTACAGCATATGACAACTTTCCAGCTTTAAAGTTGGATATGGACCTCAGGTGTGCCTCCATGCATGACTTTCAACACCATTGCTGTTTAATCATGGAACCATCAAGTTGCTTCATGTGAAAGAATATAAATTTGCTGGCATAGTGGCGATGAGCAAGTATTTCGAATTCAACGGAAAAATGTGTCAGAAGAAAAAAACAATACAAAGTCTTCTATCCAAAATTTGTTCATAAACAAACAAAAGTTACTTCAAAACATCTTGAATTTGTAAATTGTAATCTTTTATGTAAAGGTAATTTGGGATCAAAGTTATCTTTCAATATATCAAAATAAAAGTCTTGTCAAAAGTTTGTTGCCTCCAGGTACATGAAGATTGTATCTTTTGAAAGGATGTACCCATTAAATGGACTCCACTGAGGTGTAAAAGTCTGAAAACATAGCATTTGAATTTCTTACATAAATAAGCTGGAGCACTTGAAACAGAAATATATGCAATGATAGTTAAGAAATATACTTTGAAATAAATTAAAAATTGTATTTTTAGGCTTTTCTTAGCCCGATTTGAGTGAAAAGCATTTTAAACGCTTTTCATTTTGTGTCATTTTGTTACAATTTGAATAATTTTAGTAAAAACGAACTGTGCAAATGATCTGAAGTTCTGCACAAAGATTAGTGGTCTAAACCCTCATCAAATGGTACATTTATCTGGAAATAAACACTGAAATGACTACATATTTCAGATATGAACTGAAGTCGCACACAAGTCATCAATTTTTTATTATTGTATTCTAAAGATGGATAGATTATTCTTAAAGTTAATTATAAACAGGTCTGATGGTACTGATGAATAAATACCTTATGTTATTAAACAGGTAAAACTGCTTACACTTTCTTCTGATGGACAAAAAGTCAGAAATCAAATGTTTAAAAATAAGTTTATTATATCCCGTAACCTACTGAAACATAAAGTGATAAACTTCTGCCACCAGTATAGAGCTAGGCCGGGCTACACTTCTGTACAAGCTTTATTTCATTGGTAGCATATAACACTATCATGTATGTATTATCTGAAATGACATTGTATGTATTGTCTGAAATGACATTTTTTAATCTTTTTTTTTCACTTTCAGCCATAACCAGCATCAACTGTTTTGCCAGGTGTATGACTTGTGTGCTACATACCTTTTCCTGAATCTGTTATGTTATCATTTTTTATCTTTATTTTCTCTTATCTTCACCTTCAGCCATTACACACATTCATTTTTTCATTGGCATCAATTTTAAAAAATCTGACATTTCATTTTTTTATCCTTTTTTGTCACTTTTAGCTGTTGTCCACATAGAAATATTCAAAATCTTGCACTAGTTCCACACATTTTCAATAATCTATTAGTTATATAGAGGATATTGAATGAGTGTAGATTTAATACTAAATTTATTGAACGAATTGAATAAAATCATAATATGTGAGCCTCTGGCGACATAATATTGTTTAATTTAATGAGTTCAATAAATTTAGTATTGAATCTACACAAATATAATATTCTATTTATCACATTATATGAAATAAAAACAGAAAATTGTTAACAAGTCATTTTTATTTGATGCACCAAATAGTGTTATGCTAACATTAGCCCGCTTTAGCGCAAATGATGTCACGTCTAAGTATTATTACACTGGTGTAATATCGTCTAGTGTAATATCGTTTTTATAAAATGGCTTTATTACACTCCTGCGACTCTGATTATGTGATAAAATGTGTTTATTACACTTCAGCGCCTTGGTTTATGTGATGAAAATATCATTTATTATTTTTTTCACGTTCAGCCATTATCCACGTCTACCACTTCCTGTGCCTCTTCTTCATCACCTCCTCCATTATTTACATCATCTAGTTTACTATCAGTGTCCATGTACTTCTCTCTTACATTTTGGATTTTGTCGTATTCAAAATTTGCACCAGCTGCATATGAAAGCATTTCTTGAATGTTTCTTTCTTCGAGATCACCAAAAACGTACCCATTAGCTTTGTCAATAACTTGCATTACGCGTAACATGCTCTCTTTATCCTGAAAATGAAGAAAGTAATTAATAAGTGCATTGTACATGTATATATTTCCCACAGGGAGCATTTATTGATCGATGAATGTTTCTCGTAAGACTAGTTCAGAAATGGCCTCTTCTTTAGCCACAAGGTACTTAAAATGAATGGTTGCCGATTTCTATCCACCTGGCGCCTGACATAGTGGTAGGTGTTGGGAGGTACATGGTATGTTTGCAAAAAGTGTCTTGTATTTATATATAAGAGTTAATAATTTATGTCATATGTTGCCGTTTCAACCAACAAACACACGTCAGATTATATTTTTTGCATATTTTCCCATAGTCTATGATATTTTAAATACTTTACCTCAATAAAACAATTTTGTTTAATATTTCACTACCTTTATGACAGATTATTTCACATTTATCACTACTTTCTTCAGGTAACAAACATCCAGCATTCTCTAAAACCTTTATTGAAACATTATTAAATTCATGTTTGCCCTTTTTAAAGAAGCAAAAATTTACTTATTTCTGTGGCATAATGTGTCTTTTAAGCAGCACGTCCCAGATTCATGCTAATTTTCATGAAAATTTGAAAATTTATATAACAGTATAATATTGTGAAGTTACCAAAAGAATGCAATTTACACATTATCAATGGCACTTACAACCCATGTAAATTACCATAAAGAGGGCAAAATATGCAGAAATAGCCCTTACTGCATTAGTAACGCAGTAGAAAAATAATTATAAATACTGAAAAATTGGTCATTGATCGCACATTACATGTAAACTATTACTAGAATTTTGAACCTGTATACTTTTCCTAAAATCTTAGTACATTTTTCTCAGGTTTGATTTTATTGAAATATTTTTTTGCGGTGCAGCTTTCACTCATAACAAAGATTAATGAACAGTTCCAAATTCAAAGTAGAGAAAGGTCCATTATAGAAATTTAGCAGCATCAGGGTTTAATTAAAGACCTACATAACAATCCTTTGTTATTAAAAAGCAATAATTTGATTTTACAAAGAACAAAGAATTCAATCTTTACTGCTCATAAACCAGAATCTGATTAGTGTGCAAGCACTAATTTCATTCAAATCATGTAAATTATTCACTTAAAATTCTTTTGAACAGTTCAGACTGGATGAGAAAAGTTGTTAATCTAATTATTTCATTTCTTTAATTACCACAAGAAATGTTGGTTCTTTAAAACTGGTTCTTTTTTCTTCATAAATGAACAATGTTACATTTTTTCTTTCATTAAGATAGATTACCCTGCTGACTATTATTATACCCTTCTCTGAATTTTGATATGTTAATTTGTAGGTTCTGGGATTTCAATAGCAAAATATTAATATTAAAGGGGCTCCACTTAGGTCTAAAAGCCTAACAGCATAAAATTTGAATTTCTTACATTGGTCAGCTGGGAAACTAAAAACAAAACAATATTCAAAAGATAATTTAAAAAAAATACAAAGAAATAAATTGAAAATCATATTTTGTGATATTCTAAGCCCAAATTAAGTTAAAACTTTTGCAAGGCTTTTCATTTTTATGTTGTTGTTTTTTGTTGTTTTTTTTTCGCAATTCAAATAATTTTTCTGGAAAAAAATGAGTGAAAGCATGACCTGAAGTTTTGCACACAAGTTATTGGTCTAGACCTACATCATAATGCAATATAAACTAGAACTATCACTAAATGTGATTAATACCCCCACAAGTCTGCTTCGGAAATGAGGATGTTACTAGTAACAGAATACCTCGTAAAAGAATTGAAACATAGAGTTATGGTTGTGGGCAATTAAAGATAATTGTGGTTCATGTATGTTGCATTTCCTTTCAATGTGGTTGGCCATTGATGAAGTTTAATTGAATTACTCTGTAATAAGTCCAGAAAGACAAAGAAAAAGAACAAAGGGCAAACACTCTATAAATACTGAAGATAGAGTTATAGTTCTTGTGCACTGCACTTCCTCTTATTGTGCTTGACCATTGTATGAAGTTGTTTTGAATTCCAACCAGTACATTTTAAGTTATGCTCCGGACAAGAAAAAGTATCAAAGGGCAGTAACTCTGTATTTTGTCAAAATGGAGTTATGGCTCTTGTGCACTGCACTTCCTTTGAATGTCCTTGACAACTGTATGAAGTTGTACTGAATTCCAAACAGTAGTTTTCAAGTTATGCTCTGGCTAAGGAAAAGTAACAAAGGGCAATAACTCTGTAATTAGTCAAGATGGAGTTATGGTTCTTGTGCACTGCACTTCCCCTTATTGTGCTTGACCATTGTATGAAGTTGTTTTGAATTCCAACCAGTAGTTTTCAAGTCATGCTCTGGACAAGGAAAAGTAACAAAGGGCAATAACTCTGTAATTAGTCAAGATGGAGTTATGGTTCTTATGCACTGCACTTCCTCTCAATGTGCTTGACCATTGTATGAAGTTATAATGAATTCCAACATAAGTCTTCAAGTTATGGTCCGGACAAGAAAGCAATGGAAAAGTAACAAAGGGCAATAACTCTGTAATTAGTCAAAATGGAGTTATGGTTCTTGTGCACTGCACTTCCCCTTATTGTTTTGTTTGTTTTGGGTTTTACGTCACATCGACACAGTATAGGTCATATCGCAACGTTCCAGCTTTACTGGTGGAGGAAGACCTCAGGTGCCCTTCCGTGCATTATTTCAGGCACGAACGGGCACCTGAGTAGAACCACCGACGTTCCGTAAGCTTGCTGGATAGCTCCCCTTATTGTGCTTGACCATTGTATGAAGTTGTTTTGAATTCCAACCAGTAGTTTTAAAGTCATGCTCTGGACAAGGAAAAGAAACAAAGGGCAGTAAATCTGTAATAAGTCAAAATGGAGTTATGGTTCTTGTGCACTGCACTTCCTCTCAATGTGCTGGACCATTGTATGAAGTTATAATGAATTCCAACAATTAGTCTTCAAGTTATGGTCCGGACAATAGAAAGCAATGGAAAAGTAATAAAGGGCAATAACTCTGTAATTACTTGAGATAGAGTTATGGTTCTTATGCACTGCACTTCCTCTCAATGTGCTTGACCATTGTATGTAGTTATATTGAATTCCAACCATTAGTTTTCAAGTTATGCTCCGGACAAGGAAAATACTACGGACGTCTGGACCGACCGACCGCCCTACCGACCGACCGACCAACCACCAGGTGACTCCTATATACCCCTCCAAACTTCGTTTTTGGGGGTATAATCATAAAATATATATTTCCAGTCCCATCGTGTCAAAAAACATCAGCGGAGTCCTTTTAACTCAGATTGGTCAAACTGCACAAATGGGGCTTGACTGGACTGGTACAACATATCTATTATTATCACACAAGCCCTAAACCTACTAGAACCTGAAAGTGTTTAGCCACCAGTATTGACTTAGGCCAGCCTAGTATGACAAGGCACAATCCTGTTGGTACATGTAGCTTAATATTTCTAGGGGCGTCTGAGACCGAGTGATTAAGGTTGTTGACTTCAAGCCACTTGCCCCTTCCTCACCACTGAGTGTTTGAATCTGCCAGGGACTTAAGATTCTTTGATGTGAGGAAGCTATCCAGCTAGCTAACCGAACATCGGTGGTTCTACTCAGGTGTTCGTTTGTGCCTGAAATAATGCATTGAAGGGCACCTGGTTTGAACAAAGTTATAGGACCTTTTAATCATAAATTGCAATACTACAATGCAGAATTAGAAGGCCTCAAATGTTTTAAAACTTTATCAGCAAGTGTACATTCTGTGCTAGTTTCCAACCAATCAAATACCTGAGACCTGAGAAAATATCTTTTAAATCTCTGATCAAGGTTCAATAAAGTTGACAGTGATTTAATATTAAATTTTCTTAATCTAACAAAACACAGTTCCAAATAAAAATCCAGCCTTGTCTCGCATAATGAAAATTTAAGCCAATAAAATATAAAACAAGAGGGATAACTCAAGTATTAAATGAAAAAATTTATAATGATAATTTAATTCCCTTTGAATGATACTACATTGTATTCTACAGCTTAGTTAATTTCGCAATGCACCGGCATTTGGTTTTGACAATAAACATGTACAGATAGATAACGTATGACTTACCTCTACCACAAGGGGTACAAAGGTGACCAGACTGTAATCTTGTACAATATCCACTAATGCTGAATTCAACTTCTTATACCTGTGAAAATCTTCATCTTCCTTAAAACAATACATTCAAATATTATTTCAAATATTTTATAATATTAAAACTATTCAATGAACTATTCAACAAAACAATAAATGTATGTGTATTTTAAAAGAACTCTTAGGCAAATGAGTTATATGTGTCAGTACAAAATTCATAATGAAGAAATGCATATGGTAAATGAAAGGCACATTATGCCTCGGGCAAACATTGGTTAACTGACATTTAAATCATGGTTTAAGAGCATGTTAGATGGTTATCAACTGAAAGAAATAACGATGTATGTAAAATTATTTGTCATAAAATTAGGAAAATGTAAACAAAGAAGTATTTTGACTTCCAAACAAAATTCTTCTTATCAAATATCTGTACACCTCTTATGAGCATTTAAAATTTGAAACATAAATATGCAAATGGTTCTGAGAAAGTCCTAATCCCATATAGGGTTAAGTCTATATTGTCTTGAACCAAGCAGGATTTGAACCAACAAACACTACCCATAAAGTAAGGCATTTAAAATGAATATTTTTAAGGTTTTTAAATATGAATAATATTAAAGGAACTCCACTGAGGTCCAAAAGTTAAAAAACATGTAAATTTAAAATCTTACAAAGAAAGGAAAAATATAATATTTAAAGGTAATAAAGAAATATACTCAGAATTAAATTGAAAATCTTTTTTTTTGTTTAAACACTTTTCATTTTTTAGTATTTTTGCACATTACAATTATAATGCTTAAAAACCATAGCAAGCAAATGGTCTGAAACTTTGCACACAAGTTATTGGTGACAGACCTTCATACAAATGGTATAAAAATCTCGAAAATATATTTCCAGTATAGTCATGTCAAAAAACTCAGTGGAGTCCCTTTAATCCGATGATAAGATATATATTATATCATGGTAAGTACCTTTAATTCATCTAGGATATATGATAGATCCAGAACTTCAGTGTAGAAATCAATGTTGAACGCCAACTTCCCGTATTTCTCTATTAGATCGCACTTGGATAATACATTAACATGAGGTAGGGCAATCTGTAACATGGTGGACAAGGACGTCAACAACACGGATATAAACTTTGACGCATCACTGCAAATTATAATATGTCATTGAAACTTGACTCAAATCAAATCAGCAAAATATTTCAAATGTAAAGGAAGAATGTAATGCCATGTTTTCTTTAGATTTTGAAGTCAAAAAGCAATGGAAATTTCTTTAAGACTACTGGAGATAAAAAGCAATGAAAATTTCTTTAGATTTTGCAGATAAAAAGCAATACAAATTTCTTTAAACTTCTCCAGAAAAAAGCAATGGATATTTCTTAAGAATTCTTCAGATAAAAAGCCATGGATATTTCTTTTGACTTTTGCATATAAAAAGCCATGTAAATTTCTTTGATTTCTACAGATACATGTACATGTATAAAGCCATAGAAATTTATTTGAAACTCTGCAAATAATAGTCATGGAAATATATTAATTTTGTCTTCTGCTAGTAAAAATAATTGGCGCATAATTTTCTTTACAATGATTGCATTTTACCAAAAACAAAAGTAACAAGCAATTATCATAGTATTGCAAGCAATCCATAAGTCCCCTACCGGTAAGAGCCAAAGCAACATTCTGAAGGCCATTCACCTATGTTTCTATTTTAAGTAAATTTGTTAAAAAAGTTCTTTAAAAGTGATCACAGTGAACAGTTTTTATGTACAGACAGACAGACGGACTGAAGGACACTCTAAAGTTATTTTTTAAACATCCCTGTTATCAAAATATAACATTTTTAAAAGCAAAATTTAAAAAAAGGAGATAACGATGTCATACATGATGTGAGTGTAACAAAGAACAATTAGTAATGAAGGTATAAATATTGAATGTTTATTTTGAATTTGAAGTAAATGAAAGTTAAAAGAACGAATAGGAAAAATTAAAAGTTTAAGGAGGAGATAATTCTGGAAATATGGATGCTAGATTTATAAACCTTGTCATATTATTATGATGTGGGAGTTTGAAGAAAATCCTATCATGATTGAAGAAGTTTGAGTAAAAATTACCAATTTCTCAAAAAAAAAAAGTCTAAGTTCAAAAGGGGCATAATTCTGGAAATAGTCTTGCTAGAGTATTGAACACTCACAAATGTTGAGTGATAATAAGAAACATTTATATGAAGTAGATGTGTTCAGAAAAAAAGAAGTTATTAAAAAAACAATGTTTTTTTTTCATGAAAATTTTAAGTTCAAGGGAGGTAATTCTGATAAATTTTGTGCTAGAGTTGTAAACTTTGTCACATATGATGTGGTTGATGACAAGCAACTTATATTTAAAGTTTAAAGAAAATACCTTAAGAAATAAAGAACTTATAGTGAAAAAACTTAAAAACTAGAATCAGAAATCTTGATATTTAGTCTATTTTTTGCCATAGCAACCAGAATTTTCAATACAGGAAGATAAGAAAAGAATGTGCATAATTTCCATACTGCCATCTACCCATATGTCAAGTTTCATAAAAATATTTTCAGTACTTTTTGCGTTATGGCTGGATCCAGGTTATGTGTAAAATTTGCCATATTTTCAGTCTATTTGTTGCCATAGCAACCAGAATTTTCAGCATAGGAAAAAAAGAAAAAGATGTGCATAATCTCCATAGGAAGATAAGAAAAGAATGTGCATAATTTCCATACTGCCATCTACCCATATGTCAAGTTTCATAAAAATATTTTCAGTACTTTTTGCGTTATGGCTGGATCCAGGTTATGTGTAAAATTTGCCATATTTTCAGTCTATTTGTTGCCATAGCAACCAGAATTTTCAGCATAGGAAAAAAAGAAAAAGATGTGCATAATCTCCATAGGAAGATAAGAAAAGAATGTGCATAACTTCCATACTGCCATCTACCCATATGTCAATTTTCATAAAAATATTTTCAGTACTTTTTGCGTTATGGCTGGATCCAGGTTATGTGTAAAATTTGCCATATTTTCAGTCTATTTGTTGCCATAGCAACCAGAATTTTCAGCATAGGAAAAAATGAAAAAGATGTGCATAATCTCCATACTACCATCTATCCATGTATCAAGTTTCATAAAAATATTTTCAGTACTTTTTGCGGTATCGCGGGATCCAGGTTATGTGTAAAATTTGCCATATTTTCAGCCTATTTGTTGCCATAGCAACCAGAATTTTCAACATAGGAAGAAAAGAAAAAGACGTGCATAATCTCCATACTGCCATCTATCCATATATCAAGTTTCATTAAAATATTTTCAGTACTTTTTGCGTTATCGCGGGATCCAGTTTTGTGGACGGACGGACTGACGGACGGACGGACAGACGGACGGACGGACGGACAGACGGACGGAGGGTAAACCTAAAGTCCCCTCCGGTAAACCGGTAGGGGACTAAAAATAATAACAAAATTTTAATATTCTGATAGAATCACAAAAAATATTTTCAAACAACATGTAAGTCCAAACAAAATTAAGTATAAATAGAATACGAAGGGAAGGTTTTGACAAAATTTAATGACTTGCAAATTTATGCCAGTTGGCAAGTGGATTTGTTGAGCCCTGCTCTGCAGGTAAAAGCCATGGAAATACATTTACCTTCTGCTAGTAAAAACAATTATAGCATTATTCTTTTTACAATAACTACATTTTACAAAGAAAAATTAAAATAGATAGAAAGAATTGCAAACATATTTTTAAATAACATGTACGAGGGTTGATCAATATATTCGTGGACACACTCCATAAATTGTTTTTTTGGGGAAGGAAAGTTAATATAATTATATTTGACATTTATTCAATCATTTATCAATTTGATGTGTAAGTTTCAGATAAATAATCCGTATATTTTATCCAAAATGACAGTTTTCAAAAATACATGTTAAGCTGATCGCCGCAGCTCATTCGCAACTTACGTTACGTCGGCGTTACATCTTCTCAAAAAATGCAGCACCAACTTCTACACATCGTTCATGCCTGTGTACCCACTGACTGAAAATGTTCTTATTAAATGAAGTATCAAATGAACGCAACACAGACAATGCCATGGACTGTAAATCATGGAACCTGGTAAAATTGTGTCCCTTTAACTCTGCCTTCAATTTCACTCTCATAACGTTCTCATTGCAACAAGTTTCGATTGGTCTGTGGCATCTCTTTTTATCCTGAAGTTCTTCTCTACCCTCATGGAAGCGTTTGTGCCACTTATAAACAAATGAATAAGACACCTTTTTTGTTCAAGATACACTTTCCAAGTTTTCCTTAGTCTGCTGTGGCGTCATACCAAGATTTACACAGACTTAATTACTTCCGTCTGCTCCAAAAATGTCGTGCTCCTCTCTGGTGACACACCCATGTCTCCATTAACATCTCCAACAATCAAAAGAAATCGTAGCGACGCTTGTTTTTTTTAAATGTTCTATAAACGATATGAAAGAACGTTGCCGTAATTTTTATATTTTAAAGAAGCGCACCAAAATAAGGCAAATTTTTAAGTATTTTAAAATGCTAAATATAACTTTTTTAAGCTGCAGCGTTCGTACGGCATAGGGTTGCTATGGCGATACATATAATCAACAAAAATGAGAATTTTTTTTTAAAATCACAATACATTTGTAATAGTATTAAATTCTTCTCCTAAATAGCGAAAATTCTTTATAATATCTTGATTAATTATTAAGTTATTAATAGCGTCCATGAATATATTGATCAACCCTCGTATGTCAAGACAAAACTAAATAAAGTATAAATAGTATAAAAGCGGGGAATGTTTAGACAAATGACTTGCCTACAATAATGTGAATCCACTAAATGTACAGACACTAATCTAATGTCCATCTTGACCAGTTCCGCAACAATATTCCTCACCGCATTGTTATGTGTATATAGTTCTACCTGACCTGGACAATCTATCAGCAGGTACTTGTCTTTAACTTTCTCAAGTTCTTTCTGTAACAAATATCTTAAGTAATACTATGAATTCTTGTAAGTTTGATCATCATCTTAAAGATCCTGTAAAACATTTCTTATATTAAGGTTTTATATCATAAATATGATGCTCAAATTAAGATTTATCAATATTGTAAGTTCCAAAAGCATTATTTACTATATTACCAAATTTAACATTTCATGTAATTAAAGGGAGGTCGACATAAGAAATTTATTTTATATAAATTCTAAGTCAAATTTTTCAATAAGAAATGAATACATATGAGCCGCGTCACGACAAAACCAACATAATGGGTTTGAGACCAGCATTTATCCAGACCAGCCTGCGCATCCGCGCAGTCTGATCAGGATCCAAGCTGTTCACTTACAGACTCTATGACAAGTAGAGAAACTGATAGCGAACAGCATGGATCCTGATCAGACTGCGCGTTTGCGCAGGCTGGTCTGGATCCATGCTGGTCGCAAACACACTATGTTGGTTTTGTCGTGACACGGCTCATATATTTTAATGATTACACATAATGTGCACAAATATTTGCAGTATATATTTTACATATTCTTCGATGTTTGAAAATTGTTTTATAAGCATTATTATAAAAATTATTATGTAACATATATAAAATTTCACTAAAGTGTGGTAACAACCTCAAATATAACATACAGGATCTTTAAATTATGCACTACCTGCAGTTTATTTTTGATAAAGCTTATAAACTTACAACCTACATGTATTCTAAGCTTATAAACTTACATTGAAGTCTTGATGTAGGTGTAAAAAGAAAGACCAATTTTCCCCGTCATGATGTCGCTTTTACACTCAAATAAAATAATTAAACATATCATTATCTTCATTTTAAATTATTCACTTCATGTAGCTTATTTTTGATAGAGCTTACAAACTTTCAACCTACATGTAGCCTTGATGTACAATTGTAGGTGTGGAAGGAAAGATGAGTTTCCCCTGTCAGTATTGTGATATGACTGTTAGGCTCAATGAAAAAGATATCACATAACAAATCTAACATTTGGATGCAAAAAAAAAACCAATCACTAAACAAATAAACAAAAATTTAATATTTAATACTTATTTATTTGAAAACACTGAGTATATAAGTTTTACAATTATGTTATAAGATCATGAATAGTGGATACCTTGAACGAGTACAATGTTATAAGATGAAAAAGTAAATACCTTCAACCAGTCTATATTTTTCTCCAGATATTCCATACAGTATACCAGTCCGCCATTTGGTCCAAGTTTTAACGTGTCCATCACATCGGAGATTGTAATCAGATCTGATATATCTATATCAGCTTTGTATGGTAAAATATCATTGGCTGGGTCCAGATTAATCACTGCCACCTGAAATAAGGGAATTTATTATATGAGCCGGGTCATGACAAAACCAACATAGTGCGTTTGCGACCAGCATGGATGCAGACCAGCTTGAGCATCCGTGCAGTCTGATCAGAATCCATGCTCTTCGCTATCAGTTTCTCTACTTGTAACAGGGTTGGTAAGCGAACAGCATGGATCCTGATCAGACTGTGCGGATGCGCAGGCTGGTCTGGATCCATGATGGTCGCAAACACACTATGTTGGTTTTGTTGTGACGCGGCTCATACATGTCACATGACTTTGCTCTTTTAATATTACTATAAATGTATCAATATCAAAGGAAACATAACATTTGTACCTCCTGTAGATCTAAAAATTATCCTTTGGAGCTTTTAAACTTAGATTATTTTTGAAAATCACAGATTTGTGTACTAAGGATAAAATCTTGAAATTAACTTTTGTTAATACAACAAATAATAATAGATTATTTTTGGGACATGAAAATTTAAAATCATGTATAACAATTCATTCAATTGTTTTCTAAGTTTATTTCCTGGACTGTTTATAAAAAAGTTGTTCAATTTGAAATACAGGCCGGTCAGGCAAATGACTTGGAAAATTTTACGAACCTAACATAAATTCTACTAGCAATGGACTAGCAGGCTATTGCTATGATCGCAGACTGTTTATACATTTACCACACTAAATATCTTAAAAAGTTCAATTTGGACTTGTAGACTACAATTAAATCATTTATTAAATACCTGTCTTTCAAATCCAGACAAAAACTGAACCATTCCTGCACAATATGTTGTTTTCCCTGACCCCGGGGGCCCTATTACCAACTGTCCAAACATACTCTGCTTAATTCATCTTCAAATCTGCAAGTCAATAAAATTTTAAGTGTCAATTGTTATTCATGGGCACCGCCATTTTGAATGTAATTTAATGATTACTGGGCCTCCGATAATGGAACAATCAATTTTTCATCTGAAGAAATCATTAAGGTGATCTGATTGAAAACAGAAATGGTGCATGAAAATGAATTATGATGTGCCGAATGACACGTCTAAAACAAATAACAATGTTTATCCAGTCCTTGATTAACAAGTTAATTTTTGTTCTGTTAGTTTTATTTAACTTATTCAACTTCTTTTAATTAACTTTAAGCATTGGTGAACTGAAAGATAGATCTATATTTGTTAACATGGATGATGCACAATTCTATCTATCTGTCTAACTTCCATTAATGTCAAACCTCATGGACATAGACATGACTTTAGACTAGTCAATAATCAATTCAGAGAAAGATATGAGATACAAGGGAATCTGGGAACCAGTCGCTAGATCTTATTGAAAAGACCCCTTGGTTCTTTGACATGCCCAGTGTATAGCACTGATACATGCCTGGATTGCCTGGATTTCTATCCAGTACACCTCTAGTTAGGTAGGAAACGCTGAAAGTGTCTCTGAAAAATCCAAAGGGTGTAAGATCGAACCCGGGACCTCAGGAGTGACAGCCCGTGGTCATCTGTGACTTGACATGTTATTTACAAATATAGATAAATCACTATTTATTCAGAGTTATTGTACTGAGCGATTTTTAAAACAATCGATAATAACCTCAAAATGACCACAATCTTGATAATTTATAACACAACTCACAACTTATTTAGTTCTTGGTCGCGAAAATATATAACAAACATTGTTTTCATTGTGTAAAGATTAAATATGAAGCTAATATTTGTGACACATATTGTAGTTGGTTAGCCACAATTAAACATTTATTTGTTACTTTATTTCAGTAAACTTACGTAACACAATAGAAAAAAGTGTTTAAATGTTTCGTTTCGTTGTTGTTGTTGTTCAAACTTCTCACAGTGATTACCTCCCTTGCTAGATTGTACTGATAAGGGGAGATCAATGCGTAGGAGATTGGTTGTGGTTGTTGACAGAGTCATCTTTCTTGTAAAGCTGTTAAAATAAAAATAAAAAATAAAATTAGACTCATTTTGCGGTAATTAACAAAGAAGTCCATATTTATAAGTTATCACAAAACTAAATATTTGGAAATAGAACATGGCAATTTTAAAATGCTTTAAACCCTCTTCGATGGCAGGATTTGTTCACAGGAGTTCGGCACATTTGCCCATAATGGTTAAATTATTTGGATAACTCATAATGTTACAAATTTTAATAACTTTAAACATGTAATCACGATTTCGTGATCAGTTTTTACAAAAATGGAAAAGTTATGTTTTCAATTGACCTAAGTGTTTAAATAAAAAATTTATAAAACTCAATTTAAATTAGAACATTATTTACTATGTTTACCAAGTAATATTATATCTAGCAATTACATTGTACATTATATACTCTTTGTATATTTAGATGTCTCAATTCTGACATTCCTATAGAGAAAGGTCGCTTTTTTTTGGTATTGAGAGAAAAAAATAGAACATGCTCACTTTGTAACAAGCAAGAAATAGGTGATGAATTTCACTATGTTTTTAAATGTTGTAATTTTACTCATGAAAGACACATCGATCAAGGTTTCCTAGTTTAATTTCCAAGCTGTTTTAAGCTAGCAATGTTTGTGAAGCAATAATGCACAGGCGCTAGTCACATAATCAAATATTTTACATAATCGGTCTATATATGTATATAAAGATATCTTTATATACATATATAGACCGATTATGTAAAATATTTGATTATGTGACTAGCGCCTGTGCAATAATGCTGAAAAATTCACTAAGTCATCTTCCTTATTTACTTAATTCCTTCGAGATCAATATGCCATGTTTGTATTATTATTTGTTGTATTGTTTGTTTGTTCACTCTTATGCCATTAAGGGCCATGAGTTTTTGTATATAAATAAAAATAAAAATAAATCATACATGTAAAATAATCTTCCCTTGATCATCATTAACAAATTAAATAACCATCCGGCACCCGTTTGCTATATATAGAACAAGCTTGCATAACACCATAACATGCATACTGTAGGACATGTACATGTTGTTCGTTCGTTAACTTGTTCTTTCCTCCTTCCTTCCTTCCTTCATTCCTTCCTTTCTTTCTTTCTTTCTTTCTTTCTTTCTTTCTTTCTTTCTTTCTTTCTTTCTTTCTTCCTTCCTTCCTTCCTTCCTTTCTTCCTTTCTTCCTTCCTTCCTTCATTCCTTCCTTTCTTCCTTCCTTCCTTCCTTCCTTCCTTTCTTCCTTCCTTCATTCATTCCTTCCTCCCTTCTTTCCTTCCCTCCCTCCCTCCCTTCTTCCTTCCTCGCTTCGTTCGTTTTATCAAACAATCAATAAATCAAGTTCAATCAATCAACTATCAATCCATCGATCAAATAATTCATTAATTCAATTCAATTCAATCAAGTTTATTGATCAAATCATTCAATTATTTGTTGGTTCGTTAGTTCGGGTATCTGTCCGTCCATTTATCCCTTCTTTCCTATCTTCCCACCCTCCTTCCTCCGTTCGTTCCTTCCTCCGTTCCTTCCTTTCTTCCTTCCTTCCGTTCCTTTCTTCCTTCATTTCTTCCTTCGTCCTTTCCTTCCTTCATTTATTCATTCGTTCGTTCGTTCATTCGTTCATGCGTTCTTTCCTTCGTTTTTTCGTGAATTCATTCAGTTACTCATTCATTCATTCATTCATTCATTCATTCATTCATTCATTCATTCATTCATTCATTCATTCATTCATTCATTCATACATACATACATACATACATACATACATACATACATTCATTCATTCATTCATTCATAATTTCCTCGCTAATATATAGTTTTCTTTCCTTTTTATGATATTTTGTTCGATAATTCCTTTATTCATTCATTTCCTTCAATTGTTAATAGAAATAATTGCATCCGTTTCCATTACTCATTTTCTTATTTTCTCTAAAAAAAATATCAAAGAATAAATCGAAATCTATAGATTACAAAACGCTGTGTTAGGAACATTTGTCGATATTTTACTTTAGCGCTACTTTAAAACTATCGGTAATTCATAAAAGCTTTAATTACATAGTCTGTCATACCGCAGTAAACCTTTTCAAAAATAATCTTTTCAACAAGAGTTAAAAAAGATTACAGTATAAATAGCATTTGAATAGACCAATGCTACCGGATACTCCTAAATGGAAATTTAAACATTTGCGCGTGCGCATTAAACTTAGCAACTATTTACTTTGTATTATTTAGAATAAAAGGATTAACTTTAACACCTATACTTTCAACAATTGTTTTGTTACAATTTTGCAATAAAAATTGAAACTTAAAGTGGAAATACGGTATCAAATATGGTTCGAAAATTTAAATTGGAGTAGATAGAAATATAAAGCAAAGGTATGAATTTATTTTACTTATACAATTTAAAGAGCCTACTGTAGTGTATATTTACTATAAATGATTGATATACCATATAGATGACTTAGATAGTATAATTTTCTTTTGTTTTAACGATCAATACATATTGTAGATTGTTAAGCATTTGTTTTATCCATGTTATATGAATGAACTGCAGTTTTATTTACACCCTTGATTAAATACCTTTAATAATACAATGGGATACTTGATATATGTAAACGTCCGGTTTCTTTAGACAACACTATATTATTTGCAGTAAAGTACATGTAGTAATTGTTTAACCATCATGTATATTTATATAAAGATATTGCATAATGTAATTATTACTTTAAATACACGTATTTATGGTAATTTTGTAACCCGTGTTTGTCTAGCTTTAGACCCTTATTACCTTTAATATATCAACGCTATGATAATTTTGATAATTTAGAGATTGCTTTTCATAGTGTTTCTTTTTCTTCTTCTTTTTTTCCCTTCTTTTTTTAACTTTTGACTGTTATATTCATAGTGGTGTCCGATATGGTATTCTGTTATTTTAATCTATTTATTTCGTTGTTTGACAAAAATCACCAACGGGTTATCAGAGACACAAGGTTCCCGGAATAATTTATTACAACAAATAACATTATATGGCAAGTCTGTCTGACAAACGTACAAAAGAAATTGTGAGCATGTTACTTTCGTTAAACTTTTATACGAAATAAATTTCAGGTCAAATAATGT